ACTGCTATGAGGTTGGCGAGGAGGAGAAGGAGCCCAGGAAGCTACTGCAGTGGGGTCCCCAGGGGCCTCTTATTTATCTTCCCTGAGCTGTCCATGAGTATCTGCTCTGTGAGGCCTGGTGCCAGGCTCGGGCATGGAAGAGCAAGACGCTGTCCTTGGTCTCACGGAGATTGCTGCCCTTGCTCTCACAGAGATTGCTGTTGGGGAGCCTGTTCTTGTACACCATTTCTCTTTGTATTTCTTGGGTATTGACTTCTCATCATGCAAGCTATTTTGAAACATCTTTGTGGTCTTGGAAACATACTTATCCATGGAATTTTTTTTTGGCCCTTTGCTTTTCGTTGGGCTTTTTGCACACACACCTACACCCCCAACTCTGGAGAAAACCACCTTGCCCACCCATTCTTGCTCAAAATTGTCTTATCTCCTGTATCTACTTCTTTCATTCTCCTTGCTTGCTTCTTACTCTTCCCCTTTGATTATCCCTCTCTGTTTTCCCTCTGGATTTTCTGGAATAAGAGTTGCCTGTCATATTCTAGAGTGTCCATGGTCCCATTTCCTGTTTCTATTCTGCTTGAACTAAGCAAGAAAGCTGCATCCTCATCTGAAGTTTTGAGGTGGACCAGATGCCACATTCTGTTTCTTTTCTAAAGTTTGGGCTTCTGTTATGTTTTCACAAAGCTTTTGAGATGTAGGATTATGGGAACTAGATATTAGGAATAGTTACTTGGAGTGATTTGCTTTCTTATTTGAGTGTTCATATTGCTTTGTTTTCCTCTATTGAGGATTTCTCATCACTTTTGGAACATGAGATGGAAGGTCTGAGCATCTTGCAGCTGACTACAGCCCATGGGAGAGTGACCTGTTATTCAGAGGAGTGACTTGCTGCCCCAGAGCCTTGTCAGAGCCACTTCCCTTAGTGCAGCCTAGCTTCATGCCCACCAGTGTGATTTGTCCCATTCTCTGCCTCTGAGGTCTCTTCCTATTCAGGAAAGGTTCTGTACTGTTTTCCTTTGCTGTTCACGCTCCTTGTCTTGCTGTGATCCAGGTAAATCTCATGAAATTAAGGAAAGCTTCTGTGTTACTGAATTTTAGAAACTAGAGGTTTGTTACTTTGAAGCAACCCCAATGCCAGCATGGGCTGGCAGAAATTAACCTGAGTAGTAAGAGTAGGGCTGGTTGGCAAGCTGTTGTTGGGAAGAGAGTTTGGTGAGTGTTTTTTGAGAGACTGGAAATGGCTTTGAAACCCTCTGATGTGGGTGGTACAGGAGGACAGGCAGCTTTTCCTCAAATGGTCACATGTGAGGAATCATGGGCTACTGTGACTCATATTTGAGAAGTGTTTTAAATGGTACTTGTGACTTGTTCTCCAGTCTACAACAAATACATCTTCAGTCTCCTGGAAAGCCACTGGCTTGCTGCTTTTCCTGGTGAGTGCATCTTGGAAATTGCCAGGTTCCTCAAGTTTGTTTTGGTGAGGAATGAGCAGCGTCAGGGGTTGTGTCCAGAACTTCCTTGGCCTACCTGGTAATACGGGGATACCTCATCCATTTGTGATGTTGATGAGGGAGGGGCACCAGGAGAGCATGCATGCATTCATTCATTCATTCATCCATCCATACCTTCCTTCATTTATTATTAGTAGATGTTTGTAGTACATAATAATTACATTCATCATAGAGAAATGGTACATACATATAATACATTCCAATTTCTTTTTTTCCCATCCTCTTTGTCTTAGTTATTTTCTCATTGCTGGAACAAAAATACCTGACACCCACAAATTAAAGGAGAAAAGATTTATTTTAGTTCTCAATTTGTAGAGATTTCAGTCCATAGTTGACGGGCTCTAAAGCAGGGCGGTATGGCAGAGGGCCATGGCAAAAGAGAAACAGTCTGTGGCAAAAAGCAGCTAAGCAGTGAGCCTTCCTTCCTCTTTTTATTCCAGTTAGGCCACAGGCCTATTGGTTGGTGACACCCATACCCAGGGTGGGCCTTCTGTCTTCAATAAATCCATTTAACCACATGCAGAACTACGATAATCAGAGGAACCAGTCAGTTATCACATATACATAATCTAGTCTCACACATCCATGATCCAGTCACTTCCAAAAGCTCCATCTGAAAGTGCATGAAGCTTTGGGGGACATTTTAGATATAAAGTCATAATACTCATCCTTCCCCTCATTCCCCTTGGAGATCAGGTTTTTAGTTTATTTTTCATCCTGTATCAGTGTAATCAGGATGGTGACTATTAAATATTCCGATAGCACTTTCCGCAATAACAGAAATGTTCTGAACTGTCCAGTACAGTAACTATGAGACATGTGTGATCATTGATTACTGGAAACATGGCTAGTGTGACCAAAAACTGGATTTCCTTTTCTTTTTTCTTATTTTCTTTCTTTCCCCCTCCTCCTCCTCCTTTTTGGCAGTACTGGGGCTTCACACATGATAGGCAAGTACTCTAGTGCTGAGCTACACCCTTCCCTCCCCCTCTTTTGGTGTGATTCCACTTATACAAAGTTCATAAATAAGCAAAATTAACCTGTTGTGATAGAAAACAAAACAGTTTTTCCTGGGGGTGGGAAATTAGTAGAGAAGGGAGACTGACAATAGAAGGAACTTTGTAGGGTAACATACATGTCTCATACCTTGATTATGTTGATGCATAATTTGTCAAAACATATCGATCTCCATCTTTAACATGTATACATTTTATTGTGAATGAATTATATCCCCATTAAGTTGATGAAGAAGAAGCTGGTTGGTTTTGTTTTGGTTTTTTTTGTACCGGGGATTGAACTCGGGTCCTTGCGCTTGCGAGGCAGGCGGTGGAACCACTGAGCTAAATCCCCGGCCCTCAAATACTCTGTTTTGAAGTACAGATACTCCTTGATTGCCAACAGTGTTATGTCCCAATAAGCTCATCATTAAATTGAAAATGTCATATAGAGGGCTGGGGGTTTAGCTCAGTGGCACTGCATCTGCCTCACAAGTGCAAAGTCCTGAATTCAATCCCTGGTACTAACAACAACAAAAAAAGAAACTGTCATATAGAAAGTGTGTTTAATAAACCTTACCTCTAGGACATACTAGCTCAGGAACCCAGTCCACTGTAGAGAGTTTTTTCTCTTCCCAGTCTCATGGCTGACTAGAAGCTATGGCTCAGTGCTGTTCCCCAGCATCATGAGAGAGGATTGTTTTGTGTATTCTCAGCCTGGAAAAAGGTCAGAATTCAAAATTTGAAGAACAGTTTTTTACCATCATAAAGTTGAAAAATCAGGCTGGGTGTGGTGACACATGCCTGTATTCCCAGCACGCAGGAGGCTTAAATAGGATCATTTGAGCCCAGCAGTTTGAGGCCAGCCTGGGCAACATAGACCCTCATCTCAAAAAATATTTGCAGAGCTGTCTATTAAAAACATTAAATTTGGGGGGCTGAGGGTTTGGTTCAGTAGTACTGTGCTTGCTTGGCGTGCACAAGACCATGGGTTTGATTCCTAGTACTGCAAATAAAATTATTGAAAATTAAGAGAAATCTTAAGTTGAGCCATCATAAGTAACTATCTGAAGTGTCACAGACCACAGCACACACTTTGACAGGCAGGACAGATGCTGCAGAGCAGATTGAGTCTGCACCTTCCCTGCACTTCTACACAGTGCTTGTACTGGTTTCTTGTGCTTTCCAAGTTTATATGGATTAGTTTTTCATTTATCTTTCATGATCTGTAAAGTTCCTTTTTTACCCCACTGTGGAGGGAGACCCAGGGAGGGGTGGGGGGGAGCAAGGAGTCTCTGAGACCCCAGCCCTGTGACCCATCCCTGTCTGACTAGGAGATGGATCTCAGATGAAAAATCCCATGATCTTACTAGGAAAGCATTTAGGTAATTATCTACATTTGTTCAGCTTTTGAATTTTAAAGTATTTTTACTTCTGTGATCTTTATTTTTATCTTTGTAAGGTTATTTTAGAATTGGCCAGTTTCTCAGCACCTTATGGTCCCACAGCATATGAAAAGAGAACACTGGTTATCACAGGGGTATGCTGTGAGTTCCTGTTACCTCTGAGAGCAGGGAACTTAGGTGGGCGAGAGAATGGGATCAGGTCATAAAGTCCTATGTGTGTGTGTGTGTGTGTGAGTGAGAGAGACCTCTCATTCAAGTCTCTTGCTATACATTTCACTATGCTGCTCCATGTGGCTTCAGATACTCTCCTAGAGGTCATGCCTCGTGCCCTAGAGATCTTGCAGGAATAGCAGTAGCTGGACATGGTGGTGGACACCTGTGTTACCAGCATTCGGGCGAGGCTGAGGCAATAGAATCACAAATTGAAGCCCAGCCTGGGCACTTTAGCAAATTAGCAAGATCCTGTTTCAAAGTTAAAAATATAGAGAAGAGCTGGGGTTGTAGCTCAGTATGAAGGCCCTGGGTTCAATCCCAAGTACCGAGTACAAAAACAAAAACAAAAAAACAAACCTTAGTGAGGGGTCTGGAAATGTGTCACGGATAGTCTCAAACATTTCACGGGCATTAAATAGTTCATATTCTGAAGTTCCAATGTATCTTAAAAGGAGGCAGTATCTGACACACATAAATGCTTTCTTGCTTTTTAAGTTCAGCTAGTTTATTTGAAAAGATGTTAAGACTATTTGAACCAAAATCTTGTTTGAATGAGAGACACTGCAGTGTCACGTAAAGCTTTGGTGAGGGGACAGGTCTCTGTGCCTTCTGTGTGCACATAATGTCAAATGCAGTGTCACTGCACCACACAAACTCCCTTTTCTCACTATAAAAACATTTAAGGGTCATTTGGTCAAGTTAAGCTTCTGTTTTCTGTTCTGAACATGGGTCCTGGACATGCCATGGATATGGCATCAGTGGTTCAGTAGGAAGGGTCAAACAATGGATTGGTGGCCTCTTGTCCTCACTACTTCTCTGTCCTGTGTGGCCCCCACAGCTTTTTGGAACAGGTCACTGTATAGTCCTTTCTCTTCAAGGAACCGACAGTGGTGGGACGTCGTCTGGAAACGTGTCTGGGGTTGCCCCTGCAGGGGCCTCGCGTTCTTCATCCCGGAACATCGGGTCTTCAGGAGCTGAGAAGGAGGAAGGCAAAAAGGTCAGGAGGCAGTGGGAATCGTGGAGCACAGAGGACAAGAACACCTTCTTCGAGGGACTGTATGAGGTGAGTGAGCTGTGGAGGTGAGAAAGTATGGACATAAGCTCTCCCTCTCACCCTGGCTTCTGCACTGCTCACCTTGTCTGGGTGCCTTTGCCCCCCTTTGCCACATGCTTAGAGATGAGTAGCTTCTCATCACCTGAGGTGGCTTAGGCAGTAGGGGTCCTCTTGACAGGCCTTGGCCTTGTGTCTCCTCGGGGCTGTTTGAAGCATTTTATGCTTTCACTTTTTGCTATAGTTCTTAGCCATTGTCTTGCCCATAGTCTGTGTGTGTGTTTATGTGTGTGTGTTACCTGGATTGAACCTAGTGCCTTCACTCTGAGCTACCCATTTTATGTTTTATTTTAGGACAGGATCTTGCTAAGTTGCCCACACTGGCTTGAACTTAAATCCTTTTGTCTCAATCTTTCAGGTAGCTGAAATAATGGTGTGTGCCACCATGCCTGCATTTTTCATGGTTTTCCATAGCTTCTTTCCTCATTTTTTATAAATACTTATAAATATTCTACTTTGGATATAGATGAACTGGCCTGTATGTACACTGCCTGTTTTTATAAGTAAAGTTTTATTAGAACACAGCCATGCCATTTCCTTTGTGTGCTCTCTATAGCTTGTATTGGTCCTGTGACGGAGTTTAGTAGTTGCAGCAGATATTGAGTGTCCCTCAAGTCTGGCCCATTCCTGCAGTACTTAACCATACTTACTTTATGGATTATTGAAGTTTCTCCCTGATTCTGTTTTTATGAATAATGCTACAGTGAACATCTTTGTATACATTCCTTATTTTAGACGACTTCTTTGGCACATAAGATTAGGAATATGTCACTAGAACAACAGCCCTGTCTTTTTTTTTTGGTACCAGGGATCGAACTCGGATCCTTGCGCTTGCACAGCAGGCAGCGAAACCACTGAGCTAAATCCCCGGCCCAGCCCTGTCATTTTAATAGCTAATTCACTGGAGTGATGGGAAAGTCTTGGTAACAGGAAACAGAATCTCTATAAAGGAATGAAGCTTTGGAATTTAAACCATGAAATGTTTACAGAAAGATTAGGAAAGGAGACACTTCTAAATGTAGGCACCAGACTTGATTTCACTGTATTCCCATTGCTGATAATGCTCCCTCCTGGGGCCAGATGGCTATGATTTGCCTATCTTACTTGGACAGGATTGGTGTATCAGCATGGTTTGACTCTTGTCATCTTCAGAAAGAATGAAGTGTGCACACGAGGCTTGTTTTAATAAATGTAAAACCGGGCCGGGGATTGAGCTCACGCAAGGACCCAAGTTCAATCCCCGGTACCAAAAATAAATAAATTAAAAATAAATGTAAAACCATTTAAGAAAATAAAGCGGGGGCCGGGGATTTAGCTCAGTGGTTCCGGTACCTGCCCCGCAAGTGCATGGTCCCGAGTTTGATCCCCAGTACCAAAAAATAAATAAAGTGTTTTCTACACTTGATCTTAGCCAAAAGGCCAAGAAGCGATAATAAAGTGTTTTCTTTAAGAATTTTACAATAAAGCTTAGAGGTTGCCTTTGTATAGAGAATATCCCCACATTAATATCTTTGATAAACTGCTTTCTGGGCATAGAAGACTTGTGATTCCTACCTTGTTGTCAAAACCTGCATGCATTCATTCATTCATTCTTTTTTTTGGGTACCGGGGATCGAACTCGGAACCTTCCGCTTGCGAGGCAGGTGATGGAACCACTGAGCTAAATCCCCAGCCCATTCATTTGTTGAGAAGGTTTCACTGTGTAGTCCAGGCTGGCCTTGAATGCTGTTGCAACCTGCCCCTTGCCCTTCTTCAAGTGAATTAATGCATTCCTTTCTCCTAGCCTTGTTTTCCCTTTGTGTGTGTGTGTGTTAATGGGGATTAAACCCAGGGCCTTTTCACAGAGCTACATCCCTAGCCCTTTTAAAAAGTTTTATTTTGAGACAGGGTCTTGCTAAGTTGCCCAGTCTGGTCTTGAACTTATGATCCTCCTTCCTTACTCTCTCAGAGTACTTGGATTATAGGCATGTACTTGATTTCCTTTTTCTACCAGGCAGGTATATGATGTTAGAGCTCCTGAAATCCTTGACTAGTAATAATTGGCTCTTCTGTTCACTTCATGACTTCTGTTGGTACTGTGTATCTCAAATAGTGTGTATTTTTGTGAGAGTTTGAGCATGATAGAATAAGGACGAGCACACATGCCTTAGGTCTGTCATTTTATGTGTCTGTCTAAGGCTAAGTGGGACTCTGATGGGGTCTTGATGTGTAGCTGATCAGTGGGGCCAATAATAGGACCCCAATTCTAGTCTGCTCTGAGTAGTATTGTTTCTGTAATGTTTGTTAAGATTTTGCTGCCCTCTTCCCCCCCCCCCTTTTCTTTTTTGGTGCTAAAGATCAAACCCAGGGCCTTTAGATGCTAAGCACATGCTTTACCCTGAATTACATTCCAAGCTTCTTGCTGTCTTATTGATGGCACATACGTGATCTACTTACGCACCCAGTGTTGGAGACTAGCTCAGAGCAGCACCAAGGGCAGAGGAAATTGGACAACTGTTCTAAGCAAGAGAGGGCTGACTGGATGCAGGGATTCTCCAGCTACTCATCCTGGGCCTCAGTCTGTTGCTTTTCCCCTGCCTCAGACCCTCCACAGAGGCCAATGCTGCCCCAACTCTGCCCTCATTTGCACAACCCTGGGGGGGACCCCAGAGTTCTCTTCAGTGTTGGCCTGTCCAGACTCCCTCTGTGGCCAGGAATGAGTCCTAGTCCCCTTGCTGGGAGAGAATAGGGTGGACAGGTGAGTGGGTCAGACAGACGTTGCCCTGGACCTGCTCTTACCATCTGTCTCTTAGTGTCCTTCTGTTTCAGCTGTGGTTCTGTAGAGTCTACCAGTAAGTGTTCATTTCATTTTCCTTAATATCTGTCCATCTGACCCACCTGTATGTGTTTGTTTTCACCATATGATTCTTGGTTACCTGTCTTACAGCTTCGTGGCCAGGCTCTTGTTCTTATTACTTACCTTGTTGAGAACTCCTGTGCTTTGTGATAGGCTCCCTTTCTCTGCTTTTAGCCTGCGCCTTCCCAATCTCCTGCAAATTCCATACAGGGGCACCCTTGGATTTTTTTTTTTTAACCATGTACATACTGTGGGTTTTGTCTCTTTGACTTTGGATAGTGTTCTCTTTAAACTGCGCCTATTTTTGCTATTGCCACCACCATTTGTTTGAGTTCATAACTAATTGTAGGACAACATAGTTATGCTAGAAATGCAGAGAAGGTCTTGCCCATCAGGAGCTTACCATCATGTTGGGGAAATACGATGGGCCACACAAGGATGACTGAGAAGGCTTGTGTTCAAGTGCCACAGACTCCAGAGGCAGCATAGTTTGAGAATACAGGTGCAGGAGTCAATTTGCTTCCACTGTGATCTCCATCCAAGCCAGAGGTCAGGAAAGGGGTCTTCTAAAGATGGACGAAGAAGGGAGGTGTTTCAAAACCAGCTTTGGTTCTTTGTGGTTTATGTCTGGCTGGACCTTGCAAATCTTTCTACCTCATCTCACAAATAGCTATATTCTGCACTGCTGTATAATTTTTTGAAACAGTGAGCAAGCTCTAATTTTTTTTAAAGGTTTTTAAATTTTTTGGATGTGAGGATATCTGGCTGTGACATTTGTTACCCCATTGATTGCCAGGGTGGATTTGGCTGATCTGGCTGGCTAGGTGGGTATCCCCTTCCTCCCTCACTGCTCCATGTACATCCCTCCCAAAGCTTCATGCTTGGTTGAAGAGCATAACCCCTTCTCCAGTCCAGGAGGACTGTTTCCTCAGTCAAGGTTATACACGTAGTTGTACTCCTCTGCTAAAACCTCCAAACAAGCTCCCTAGGTTTTTTATTTTTTAACTTTTCATTTTGGAACAATTCCAGGCTTTAAAAATGTTGTAAAAAAAACGTACAAAAAATTCCCATGTGTCCTTTCTCTTGTTTCCCCAATGTTAAGGTGCCCACAGTGTGACAAGCGAAATGAGGAAAGGGAACATGAAGGGCTCTGTTCATTCACCAGCACGCCTTCTCAGTTAGCAGGTCGGATTCCCACAGTTGAGTTTTTCTGCTCCCTGGAATGCTTCCTCAATCTCTTTTATCTTCTGTGACTTTTAACACTTTTGAGAACTCTGCCTGTCAGTAGACTGTCTCTCAGTTTGGGTTTGTCTGAAGTTTCCTCATGATTAAATTTGTCTCAAGAATTCCATGCCACTAATGTGTCATTGGTGCATCTAGCCAGGAGGTGCATGATGAGATCTGTCTTAGTCTTGGTAATGCCATCCTGGACCTCTAGGTTCAGGTATTGACTGCGAGTCTGTGTACTGTGAGCTCATTCTGTTTTCCTATGAGACTGTAAGTACCCTGCTTCTCATCATGCATTCTTTAACTAGTTTTAAAAACCATGGCTGCTTCTTAATGAAGTAAGGTGAAATAATAACCATCTTGGAGTTTGCCAGTGATGGTCTTGTTTTTATTGTTTTTCCATGTCTACTGAATAGAAATCCTATGCAAGTACCCTTCCTTCTCCCACATTGACATATTTATCAGTTACTTGTTTATATACATATAAACTCAGCGTCTAGTTTATTCTGCAGATCATTATCTGTTCGCGTCATTGTTGATGTTGTGGTCCACATGGTTCCAGCTTTGGCCATGAGAGCCTCTGTAACTGGCTTTTGTCACTCCTTGAGCATATTTTCAACCTTTGGCACCTCAAGGTGTTCTGTGCTCACCTGGTGCTCTCCCCGCCCCAGCCTGGAATCAGCCATTTCGCCAGGGAGCCATTTTTTTTCTCCCTTTGAAAAGTGATTTTTAGAAACCAAGACGTGAGGCTGTGGTGCTGTTGCTACTGACACCTTCCCAGTACTTCTTAATAGATGGTTTTGATGAGATTGTCACATAGTTAATTTTCCTTATGGAAGTCCTGAAACAGCACTAGGACCCAAGTTTTATTCTTAAAATCTAGATTGTGCTCAACTTTTGCATGGAGGCATTCCAAAAATATCATCAGATCACATTTTGTAAAGTTCTCTTCCTAAGTAATCATATTGACTATCCTTGTTTGAATGTGGAATACACTTTTTATGATCAAAGAAATGAAAAGTTTATGCAGAATGCCTTCCTGTTTTCTTTTAAGACACTGGGTGGCAGCATCCTGAGCTCTTGGATTACGTTGCACTCTGTCAGCCAGTGCTGTTCTTGTCTCCTGAAAGGTCTCTGAAGAGCTCCAGAGATTTAGCTGATTGTCTCAATGAATTTTATGTGTCTCATGCTCTAAGGCTGCTTTAGTTTGTTGTGTACTATTACAACAAAAATACCTGACATGGGGCAACTTGTGAAAAACAGATATTTTTTTCTCATATCTGGAAGCCAGGAAGTCCAAGATCAAGATGCTACAGCTTTGATATGTTTGAGGGCTGCATTCAGTTTCCAAGATGGTGCGTTGTTTTTTTTTTAACATCCTTCTGAAAGGAGGAGCACTGTGCCTCCCATGTCAGAAGGCAGAAGGGCAGGATTGATGAAAATGTCTAAAAGATAAGGGCCTTAATGCCATTCATGAGGGAGGAGTCTTCTCTTAATATAATTACATTGACACCACCTGAATTTTGGAGGGAACACATTCAAACAGTAGCAGGGCCCTTGCCTCTTTAGTAGCCACAGGCTGCAATGTTCTGTCCCTGAGTGTCTTTGGTGCTTTACCTGATTCCAACCTGAGACATTAGGGCAGCAGAATTGAAGATCATGCACAAGTAAGAGCAGTGAGGGATAGCCTACAGCCCACCTGTTCCCTTCTTTCTGCATTGTGTGAAAATTGTAGAGCAGTGATAGCAAATCTTTTAGAGCTTTCAATGATAACAAACCACCACTGTCATAGAGAAAGCCATTTTGTTTTAACCACTGTACTTTTATTGTGGACTTTATATTCCAGCATGGGAAAGACTTTGAAGCGATTCAGAACAACATTGCTCTGAAGTACAAGAAGAAGGGCAAGCCAGCAAGCATGGTGAAGAACAAAGAGCAGGTCCGGCACTTCTATTACCGCACCTGGCACAAGATCACCAAGTACATCGACTTTGACAATGGTGAGTGTGCCACAGGCTGGGCCTCTGCTCAGGAGCATGCTTTCTGGCATTGCCTTTCACAGCTGCTCGCCTGGGATTTGCCTCCAGTGCTTTGGTTGGCAGCATGCCCAGTGCCTATTGGTCAGTTTGTCTCAAGGAAGCTGCTTGCATCTGTGCTCTGATGATCTTATGACACTTCTCTGAGTTTTGTATGTTTCAGTGGCCCTGAGTGTGTGTGGGTTCTGGATCCCCTGTGATTGAGGGCACTGAGATCCAGTGAAGGGAAGTTGAGTTGGAGGTGCACTGGTAGCCTGAGATTGGACCACTCCTTTCTGGCCCTTCCCTCACGTTGAGGATGTCAGTTGGGCAGCATGGTGTCATTCTGCCCCAGGAAGCCAATTTTTTTTTTCTTTTTGGTACTGGAGATCGAACTCAGGACCTTGCGCTTGAGAGACAGGCGACAGCACCACTGAGCTAAATCTCCAGCCCCAGAAAGGCAATCTTTACCATAACTCTGACCGTCTGTATTTGAATCCAGATTTCTGTGGTCCATCTTTAGTTACATGATTATGTCATCTCCAGGTGCAGCGTGGCTTTCAACTCTGAGCACCCTTGGCTGGTCAGTGGTTTCTCCAGGGTCACTTGGCCCATGTTCTTTTGTGCTGCCTTTGTCTTTGTAAAGTATTGTCATCTATCTGCACATATTGGGAGAAAAGCCTTTCCTCATGCTTCCTGAGTTTCAGCCTGCTTGGCCCTACTGTGCATTACTCCAGTTTCACAACAGTGTGCTCATTCTCGATGCTCCCTTCTTCTAACATCTACACTTATTGTTAACCTTTCTTCTCTCCGAATATTATACCTTCTGTGCCAGGATAACTGGCTCAACTGTGACTGTATTGCTCTACCATTCAACTTTTGCCTGTGTCCTCATGTTGACCTTTGATATCCCTTGTCTTCCCTTGCCATTCCTGTGGTGTCCTCTCTGCTGGGTCACTGTGTCTTGACCATGGTATGCATCACATTATCGTAGCTTTAGGAGAATCTAATGCCCAGTTCCCCAACTGCCCATGGAGCTGAACTCTGCAGGGTCACACACCTGCCTTCTGTGGACTGTCTCTAATGACCTAGGGAATTGGGTTGTCAGTCTCTAATCAGTGGGAACTTCCCTTGGTTGAATTGGTGGGTCTTTTGTTAATGCTGATTTGTTTGCTTTTGGTGCCCACATGACTATCAACATAAAATTTCCTGCTGACTTCAAGTCAATACCATTTTGTTCTTTTCCAGTTGTCAACACTGTTGCTGTGTACTCAGTTGGTTTATCTGCATATCTTTGCACTGGTCAGGTCCCCTGGGGTCCAAGACTATGGTGACATGTGTCTGATTGCAGTGAAGACTTCTGCCTTCCAGAGGACTCTGTCTATATGCTTTGTCTTTCTATTTTCCTTTTCTTGCTAAATAGCATATTTAATGATTTTCTGAAAGTCAGTCCACGAGCATGAGTTTACTTTGGCTGGTCTTGAAAAGCTCTCTTCAAATGAGAAGGTGGCCAGCGAGTTGCCACAAGGGTTGGGAGGCTGTTGTGGAGAGAGAAATTTCCAAACTTTTCCCTCCTTCCTCAGCTTCCAGGTGTGCACCATCACACCTGGCTTCTTTTCTAATTTTGCCACATTGTCTGCTGAACAATCTCCTAGCCCTACCTCCCCAGTGCCTGGAGGCATCATTTCTCTCAGCTTTTCCCTCCCATCGGCTCCTGTGGGATCTGACCCAGCCTGTCTTTTCCCTTTTCCATGTGATGGCTTAACTTCTCTCCCAACCCCCACTTCATCTTACTCACCTATACACTGTCCCTACAGCCTTGGTGTTTCCTGTGTGTCTTGCTCTTAGTGTCCTGTTCGCCCCACTTGAAGGGCCTTCCTTCTTTTGTGGTTATAGCTTCCTTGAGGTTCTTTTTTTTTTTCTTGGGGGGTACCGGGGATCGAACTCGGGTCCTTGTGCTTGCGCAGCAGGTGGTGAAACCACTGAGCTAAATCCCCGGCCCATCTTTGAGGTTCTTTGATGGGCCTATTAGCTACATCCATCATGCACTGTGATCCCGTCCAGACGTCTTCAACTGGTTTCCACCCTGGAGGTTGTCTAGCCCATCTGAGAGCCTCAGGTGGAAGGTCACCAGGACATTCTGAAATGCCTGTGGTTCCTTGGATGTTGTCATATTGTATCATGCAGAGTAGCAGTGTTTTTGTTGTTGTTGTTGTTTTGTTGTTTTTTAATGTGTCATATGTATTTTAGCTGTTCTTAAGAACCAAAGCAAGAGTAAGCAAGAAGAACATGTGTGGGATCTGGGGTGGCTTTGCGAAGTCCATACTGTAAGGACAGGTCATTCCTTGGAGGATAAGTCACTCATTCACTGCTCTGGAGCTGCAGCCTCCATGTGCTTCATCAGGAATTCATTAGTTTTACCAGTCCCACATCATCTCTATGCAGAGATAGGTCCCCAGTGACTATGTGGCAGTGTGCTACCCTGAAGAATAATGTCCATGCACATCCACCTTACTTGGCTGTTGTCTGCTGCTGGGTGTAGGTTTTGTTACACAGACCTTAAATTTTCAAAAAGTGAGCTCTGGTTTCTTTTCTTCTCTCCATGTGAGTGGACTGGGAATTGTAGGACGGCATGAGGCCACCTTACCCCTTGGACCCTCTGTTCTGAGCTCCCTCCCTGCTTTTTTTTTTGGTACCAGGGATCGAACTCAGGTCCTTAGGCTTGCGTAGCAGGCAGCGAAACCACTGAGCTAAATCCCCGGCTCCTCCCTCCCTTTAGTTCCACACTCCTGTTGGCCATTTCTCTATACTCTATTGCTCTTGATGCTGTTTTTGCTTTTCTAGGTTGTGGGTCTTTTTCTTTTTGCCAGTTAACATGCCAAGCTCTTTAAAAAAAATATTTTTGAGATGTCGCATACCACAAAATTCACCTTTTTAGATTATAATTCAGTGGCATTTGGTATATTCATTATGTTCTAAAAATATTTTTATCACTCCAAAGGAGACCTCATGCCCATTTGCGCTCACTCTTATTTCTTCTCCCCAGCCCCATCAGCCACCTGCTTTCTCTCTGTGGACTTGTCTGTTGTGGAGTGTATCAGTCAGGGCTCACTAGAGTAACAGATTTACTGTGTTTATATTTCTATTTAATGTAATTATATTAAATCTATTATGTATGTATGCATAATTTCCAAGGTAGGCTTACAATGACAGTCAGGTGTGGAAGAATGCAAAAGAGCTCTCTGCATATTGGAGAGCCAGATAGTCCAGTCAGAGGTAGAAGACCTGGAGCTCACTGCAAAGTCTTGTTGGACGCCGAAGTGTCTTCATTGGAAGACTAGAGGCTGAAGGATCTGTGCTGAAAGCCTGGAAACAGATGTCCCAAGGCAATGGCGAAGATTGGAGCTCCTGCAAAGGAGGATACTTCCTTCTTTTCCCTTTTTATCCCATTTAATCTACAAGCCTATTGGCTGGTACCACTCACACCCAGGATTGGTCTTCTGCCTTCAGCAAATCCATTCAGCCATACTCAGAACTATGCTAATCCAATCAGATGGACATTTCTTATTCAAGTTGACGTAATAGTTAACTATCACATAGACATTTCTTGTAGATTGATCCATACAACATTCAGTCTTTTGTGTGTGGTTTCTGTCACTAAACATGTTTCAAGGTTCATGCATGTTGTAAAACTTCCTTTCTTTTTTGACTGAATAATTGTATGGATGGTCTACCTTTTTGTTACCTTGTTTTGTTTTTTGAGACCAGGTCTTGCTGTGTAGTCCACGCTGACCTTGAACTCACAGTGATCCTCCTGCCTCAGCCTCCCTAGTGCTGGAATTACAAGTGTGCACCACCACACCCAGCTGTCCTTTGTTATCATTGAGTAGTGGGTTTTAGAGTTTTCTGAGTCCTGGTCTCCTTTGAGATCCAGTGAGATCCTGGGTTTTTCTCTCAGGAAAAGCTTCAGGAGCAGTTAGCCTACAATGTTAGCAGAGTCAGATTCTTTGTGGCAATCCAAAGTCCAGAATCCTTCAATCCTTGTCCTCAAAACATTTTTTACCATTTACTGATACATTTTTCATTCTTATTATAAGCATACATATTTGAACATTAAATCCTTGAAAATAGATGTCTGCTATGGAAATCAGAGATTCTTCAAAAGACTAAAACTAGAAATTCCATTTGACCAAGCTATTCCCCTTCAAGGCATCTTCCCAAAAGACTTAAAGACATCACATTACAGTGATACATGCATACCCATGTTTGTGGCAGCACAACTCATAATAGCTAAGTCCTGAATGTGACCTATATGTCCATCAACAGATGAATAAAGAAAATATTGTATTTGTACACAATGGAGAACTGTTCTGCTCTAAAGAAAAATAAACTCGAATGATTTGTAGGAAAATGGATGGACCTTGAGACAATAATGTTAATTAAAACAAATCAAACATACAAGCTTAAATAATGCATGATTTCTCTTATATGAGAATCCCCAAATATAAATACAGTAAATTAAAGAGCAAAATAAAAGATAATAGGAAACAGGGAGATAAATTTGTTGTAAAAGGGAAGGGGCCCAAAAGATGGGAGGTGAGAGGGGAGGGAAAAGGTGAAAAACAGAATTAAGATGTGTTATATACATGTGCCAACTTTCCACAAGGAATGTAATCATTTATGTACTGCAAATAGCTACTAAAAAACATAAAAACTTTTTTAAAAGTAAAAATGACAATCTGAAAAAAAGTCCACATATTTTTCTACTCACTTCCTTGTCTTAAAAAAAACATGTCTCAGAAAAGAACCAGAAAGGACAATTGAGAGAGTGTGATATTTGTTCTCATTCTGTGAGATGGCCTGAAGGTGCCTAGGCTCTCATCTTCTGTGTAGCTTGACTCCCATGGCAACATATGGGACTCTACTTTGTATAATTGAAAACATTCAAAAGAATAGTGGCTAGCATGGAAAGTTGTCCCCCGTGTTTCCTCTCTCCCCCCAGTACGTGGGGACACCTTTCCAGGTGGTAGGGACCTGGCATCTCCTGTCTTCTCTGCTCTTCTAGTGTCAGTGTGTGCTGCTAGTATCTAGGATGAAACCACATGGCAGCACCTGCCCCAATTCAGCCTTTTGAAGAAGCTTTCCAGGGTCTCCACAACCTCCTTCCTCAAAGCCCAGAACTTAGTTGGTACCATGTTGAACTCCATATGTCCCATCCTGTTTGCCTCCTGCATAAAGCCTCTCCCATTACTGAAGATAGAGAGCTGGATACCAGCTAGGGGCTTGGTGCCATCTACAGCTAGTTGCCTTGTTAGCCAGGAAGGGTACAGGGAGGTGGGAGCGTCCAAGGGTTTAGGTTGCCAGCCTCTCTTGTTGCTGGAGGGAACTCTGTATGAGCAGAGCTAGAGAACAGGTGTGACTATGCTCTCGTGTCTGCACCCTCCTTCTCTTCCTGTGTGAGAACGTGCTGTCCTGAATGATCCATTTTCTTTTGAGGACATTTGCTCTGCCTATCAGAGTAATGTAAAAACCATACCTGTTGTTGTAGTTTAGATTTTTATTTTGAAAATTGCAAAAACAGCACTGTGTTCCTGTGTGCTCTTGTCAGTTTCCCACGGGTTTTGCATTATGCATGACCAAAGTGCCATGATCAACCCAGAAAATTTGCCTGAGCCTGCTTGGAAATGCTACCTACTGTCATTCCTGTGTTCACAGGTTGTACCTGCAGGGTATCTGTACCCCCATTCTAAGTTTTTTCCTTCACTCATCTTCCAGTGTTCTCACGAGGGCTGAAGAAGTCATCCCAGGAGCTGTATGGCCTCATCTGCTATGGCGAGCTTCGCAAGAAGATTGGGGGCTGTGAGTACCCTGCCTGTCCTCAGACTGTCCTTGTCCTTGTTGCTACTGATCCTTAGTGGCCAGGATCACTTACTTTCCCTTTTGAAAACATTCTAATGACAAAATAATTGAAAAAGCATATGATGAACATGGGTTCCCTTAGGTTTACCAGTGCTTAACATTGTCACATTTGCTTACTACTTTATAGGCCATCCTTGGCTTGTGCATTTTAGCCCTGCCTGTACTTCTTCAGTGACACCCTAGGCCTGTCTGATCCAGTGGGCATTGTAGGGCCAATGCCTGGTCACCTAATGTGTCACAGCTCAAAGTGGGCTATAGCACTGGGGAGGATGGGTATTTGCTGGCTGCTCCTTGTGTCTTCTCTGGCCATATCCTAAATACTCACTCTCTTCATATCTGGTCATTGTCCAGCTGGCAGCTTCTATGGGCCAACCTAGTCTTTGTGTTTAGGAGGTGCTGTGCTCCTCTGTGTTGCCCTGCATCCCTTCTCCTCCTCTACTCTGTCACTCTCTGCCCTTCACTGCTGTTCTGCCTGCTCTGGGGTAAAGACCTGGGTCTTGACTCCTAGGTCCCACTCTTTCCAGTCATCTGCTTTCAGCCACCAGACCCTCTGCCTCTAGAATTCCTGTGACTTTCATGCCCTGGAGCCTCTTCCCTCACACTGTTGGCATGTGCTGACATTCCTCTCCTTATTTCTGAATCTCAGTTCCCCTGTGCCTCTCCTCACCGAGCCCTACAGCCTCAGACAATCCACAGGCTCAGCAGTCCCATTGCCCTCTGCCCTGGTTGGGTCAGAATGCGTATCTGCCCCCTTCCCAACCCCATCTTGGGACCACTTGTCCTCATCATAATTGATGGCAACAGCACAGAGGCAGCTACTGGAGATGATGCCCTGGGCTGCCCTCACTTTCCCTTCTACCTGCTCCTTCCACCATCGAGTAGGTCTACTCTTCCCATTTTGTCTTCACTGTGGACCTGCTGTGTACTCCCTAAAGGTCCTGTGCCTCTTCGTTCTCCCTCTGTGAATCTCTTTCCTAGAAGCCAGAGGGCTTCTTTCCCACCCTTTGGGCCTCCCATTTTGCATGGTTGGCACCTTTCACTGGCTGAGGCACAGCCTGTGTCCCTTCCTCTGTTTTCATTACTCTGTCCTCACTGTCTTCCCACCCCGAAAGGCTTCTGGTCCAGACAAGCACATTGGGCACCACATCTTCTTGGGAAGAGTGCTTTGACCATCTTCAGGCTCTCTGCCCGAGTCTCTGGACACATTATCTTATTTGTTCCTATTCTGTGACCTTAATGGCTTTCTGTTCCCCAGTTAACACTGGCTTCCCTGACCAAGGGCCTCTGTACTCAAACCTGAGGCCCATCTTCGTGGTTATACCCATTCCTCTGCCAGGTGGCTCCTTGGTCAGAGTAGGCTTCTCTCTGCCCCTGTGACTCAACTCGTGCTTATTCCAGTTCTGGTGGGTATGTTGGTTGGTTCCTTCCAGCCCACCTGTATCTCACACTCGAACATATACTCACATTCTTGCACACATCTGGAGCCCACATGGGGCTCTTAGCATGTGGATCTGCCCAGTGTCCTTCATACTATGGGGTTATTTCCCTCTGGACCCCTCTGAACCTCCCAGCACTGCTCAATCAGCTTGTCACATTTGGGTTCCTAGACCTCTTCCCTTTTTTGTGTTCTTTTGTGTCTCTTCGGGAATGTGCACTCAAGATCTGGTGGCATTTCTCTGAGGCTTGTGGATGAGCTATTTTCTCTGGGCCTTTGGAAAATGTGTTTGAGAGCTGGTGGTTAGAGCAAGATTTTCCTGGACATGGCTTGTTCTGCTTGGAGTCTCCAGAAAAATATGAGTCCTAGCGTAGCTGACTTGAGTCTGTCCTGTCCTAGGGTATCTACCTGTTGACTGTGTCAAGTGCCAGTTGCAAAAGGACTTGAAGGGTGTTCAGGATTGAAGGAAATAAATGATGTGTTCAGGGCCTTCACAAAATAAGTGACAGGCTCTACTGCTTTGCCCCGAAACAGGGGTGAGCTGGGCACAACTGCTGGGTGGCATGCCTCGTGTGGCAGTGCCCATGCCTGGCCCTCCACCCTTCACCATCTTGAGCAGACAGGCCTTGTGCAAAGTCCCTTTGCTTGATGCTTGGTCCACTGGCTGGAGCCTTGGTTTCCAGGATGGGGCCTCTCAGGAACTGGGTTGGTGGCACTGGTGTCCTGTCCTGAGAGATCACTTGACCAGGGCTGGGTCAGTGATGAATAGCCTTCCCTCCCAGTCCCAAGACAGAGGCAGAAAGTCCCATGCTTGTTTACCGGAGCTTGTGTGATCCAGTTCAGTTGCCTTAGGCTTTACCTCCAAGCCTTTCTCTATACAGACACATGACTGTGGGGCTTTCCACCTGACCTGTTACCTCCTTCAGATCTTAGGTCCAGTGTCCCTGAGCCCCCAACCAGGCTAGGCTTCCTGTCCTAAACTCTTGTCCACAGGAAGGGTGGCTGATTTGCCCTGTGAGTGCAGTGCAGCATCTGGTTGTTTTTACGTGACAGCATCTACATTTTCCCTTTCCAGTGCTCTTCCGTCTTTTCTGAAGTATTATTGCCGTCTAGGATCCTTTTACTTTGCTTGAAAAACTTACTTCATTTCTTGTTACGTGGTTGCACCAGCCATGAGTTCTTTTAGTTATTATTTATCTGAAAAGCTTTTGGTTTTTTGTTTTTGTTTTTGGTGGGGGTTTTTTGGGTTTTTTTGAGGCAGGGTCTCCCTTTGTAGTTAAGGCTGGCCCTGAACTCACTATGTAGCCCAGGCTGGCCTTGAACTCGCAGCAATCCTCCTGCCTCAGCCTCCTGAGCACACCCCCCCCCCAGCATGTGCATGTGAAAAGCCTTTGTTGTTCTTAAAATTTTGGTGAATATAGAATTCTGATTTGACAGTTTTTAAAAGATTGCACTACAGTTGTTGTCCAGTGTCTGTGGCCTGTACTATTTCTGCTGAGAGATCAGTGGTCACTTGGGTCCTTGTTCTTCTGTCTGAATTCAGTCTGGGTGGTTGCTTTTATGATTTCACCTTTGTTTCTGGCTGTGTTTTTGTGGTTTTCATACTCCCCAAATCCAGAAGAGTTCAAGGAACTGAAGGAATTTTGCACTGACCAACCAAGTGCCTCCATCTAGACTCTTCCACAATCTTCTTATTTTTCCCACTAGCTTCTTACTTCCTTGCTTTCCTGCACATCTTTTGTTGGCAGCAGTGAGTTCAGAGGAAGTGGGGTTTCTGTGCTAACCAACAGTGAAGGTGTCAGACTCACTGTTTTGTAGGCCCTAGGGTTGTGGGGATTTCAACCTATATACCTGAGGGTGCACATGTGGACACCATTGGGTGTGGAGCCCACCAGGGGAATTGTGCACAGGCCTAACATGGTACCTAGAGAAAGCATTCATCAAAACCAGCATTCCAGACCAAGTAGCAGCTTAGTAGTTGCAGGGGATTGGGAAGAACTTCTGGGAGAGATCAGCAGATGGAACTTTGAGAAAGTGGCTAAAGAGAGACCTGCAGCCTTAGTGGAGTTCCTCTTAGGTAACTGATTTTCTAGATGACATTGGGAAAAGGGCTGCAGCTACCACAGAGGTTTCATTCTGGAAGACCTCGAGTATTCAGTGGCAGGGTTTGGAGTCTCTGTAGAAGATGATTATATGAGAATCAAATACTTTTACTCCTAACTACCCCTTGACCTCATTTCTGTATCTTCTGTTTAAAGGTATGGATGACAAGAATGCAACAAAGTTGAATGAGCTCATTCAGGTTGGGTAAGTACAAGTATTATTGTGAGATTATGTTTGCAGCTTTTGAATACTCACATTTGTTCGCTGAAATTCAGCAGTTAAAATGTGTGCAGCTTTCTTCCATTTTCTCAATGAGGACCCTCAGAATTAAAATTTAGTATCTTCTCGGGTGCCCATTGTTCCCACAGAAGGTGGGAAAGCCCAGGTGTGGAAGTGGCCCCAGTCTTGCTTTCTCCTTCCCTTATCTGTGTGCATGCATGTGCTGGTTCCCTGGCCTCTACAAAGCCTCTCTTTCCCATTGTGTTTTCTCTGGTCTCCTGGGCCACTTCCAAAGACTTTTCTAGCCTCTTTTGCCCACTGATACTCCTGCCCCAGAGCCCATTCTCAGCTTGGCTTTCTGTTCTTCCTTTGTGCTCCTATCTTCCATAGCTCAAATGTTTTCAGGGTGTCAGAAGCTGCCAGACCCCTGCCTGTTCAGTTGTCACTTGCTCAGCCTCAGTTGCTTTTGACTTATTTCAGCCTCAGTTGCTTTTGACTTATTTCTGCCCCAGAGATGCCACCTGTACCAGGACTTGCTGTGTGAAGATAGTCCACCTGTGCCCTCGCTGAGTGTCTCCTGTGTACTGTCATGCACTGCTGGCCTAGACTCTGCACTTGGCCTTTAAGTCTTCCTTGTTCTGACAGTCTCCTAAGTCGGTCTTCAGGGCAGTGAGCCGTCGGCAACCTGAGCTTCTTTCAAGTTCTATAACCACCTGTAGTTCACTCTGAGGTCACCCCCAGCACTGTCTTTCAGACCTTCCTGTCTCTAGCCTCTCTTGTGTCTAGTAAACGCTTCCTGGGCCCCCTGTTACTTATCCTGGGTAAAGGACTCTAGACCTACTCATCCCTCATGTTTGCACCTTAGTTGCAAATCTCACCACCTGGGAACTTCCACTTTTTGTGCCCCCAGTGTACCTTGCTCTGCCACCTTGCTTGGTTGGAAGGTTGGAAGCTTTGCACATAGCCTGAGCCATTCTGGCCACACCTCCCACTTTAGCCCTCTCATAGCTCCCCTTGTTCAAGCCAAGGGACCACAGTGTAAGACCCAGCCCAGCCAGTGCCTGCTACAGTCTGGAATTCTACATATGTGGGGTATTCACCTGATATGGTACCCCCTCAGTGGTGGCTGCCATGTCCCTCAGCCATTATCCAACACTCATCCCACCAGGTCTCTCTCCCTATTCCTTGAACCCCAGGTGTTTGGTCTGCATTCTTACCCAGAATCTTCTGAGCTGTCATGGATGTACTAGCCATTCTGTCTGCAGAACATGGCCTTGCCATACCTCTGGCCAGCTCAGCATCTCCCATAGGCTTCGAATCTGACTTCTGGGAGCCATAGACTTTGAGAAGAGTGCCTAGGGTCCAGCTGTATGCCTATTCCAGCCTTGGGTTCCTGAGGCTTTATTTGTACAAACTGCCCTATTGAGAGTCAGGCCTGGAAGGAATTAGATTGTATCATTGCTGTGTGAAAGAGCCATGACTGGGGCCAGGGATTTAGCTCAGTGGTTCCTCCGCCTGCCCCACAAGTGCAAGGACCCAAGTTTGATCCCCGGTACCAAAAAAAAAAATGAATGGAGGATCCTGGAGCAGAACTGGTCTCAGAAATAGAGACCACCAGGGTGTTGGGTGTGGGGATGCCAACCATGGTTGGGGGATTATGGCTGGGATTGCCCTGACCCTTCCACTTACCTTGGGTCAGAGCCCATCTTTCTCCTTTGCACCTTCTCCTTCTGCTAGGCAATTGCACATCTGAAGAACCTTCTCCAGAAGGTGGAAGCTCTGAGGCTGAGACAGCTCTGATGTTACCTTCTCATTAGCAGGCTATGGTGCTATTTGCTGGCGTATCTTGACCTTTTATTTCAGAATTCATGGAATGAAGCCAGTGTTCCAGGCTGTCTCCAGGACGAGGCATGGGCAGCGTGTGTGGAAAGGCAGGGTTGGGACTGAGACAGGTAGGGACCTTTCCCACTATGCAGACATCTGCCACACCGTCCCTAGAAGAGCTTCTTAAGCAACAAGTTCTTTCCTACCACATGTAAATGATCACATCACACCAAGCAGCTCTTTCTAGAATCAAAGACAGAACACCCTTGACAACCAAATGCAAGGAGCATGCCTTGGTTAGATCCTGAATCTAGCAAAAAAAAGGGAAAGGAAGAGATGGTTATAAAGAGTGTTACAGGACAAGTGGGAAGGTTGATTTTTGGACTATGTACTAGATGGTGGTGTGATCTCAGCATTGTTGCTTCTGAGTAAGACCTGGGCTGAGGTATGTGGTACCTGAGGTATGTGAGGTGTGTGGTATCTCAGTACCTGCAGGGGGCTCAGCTCAGTGAGAGGTGAGGAGCAGATTTGGCATGTGCAGCGACCCAGAGCTTCTGTGCAGGTGACATTGGACCAAGTTTGTACTCGTGGACACCAGATAGGTGGACAGCAGCATTGAAATATGCCATGAGTCAGGCACCCCTTTGGTTCTATCTACTGATATGGATCCTCTCCATGAGAATCAAATGGGAAATGATGGCAGTGGAGCTAGCCATGTGCCCTGGATCCTTTAGGGCTCAAATGCCTGAGTTGCTGGTCAGGTGACAGCCCTGGCTGGGTTTTGGTCACCATGGTTGGCTGTGCTCCTCACAGTGCAGTGACATCAAGGGTAGCCCTAGAAGGTGGTACATTAACAGAGTGGAGAGACTGATTGCCCTTTTAATGAGGCCACTATTAGTGAGGCTCATCTGATCTGGCTGTAGCACCTATCTTAAAAAGACTGATAAGGTAGCCTTTTTTTTTTTTTTAAGAGTCATAGGTACCACTAGGGATTTGGTAATGTAAGCAAGTTTGCAGCAAGTGGCAGGAAAAAATCAGTGCTGATTCCTGGCCAAGTTGAAAGCTTGGTGAGTGCTAGGAAATGTGTCAGTTGCCACAGAGAGATCTGTCATTACTTTCTCCTTTTACTCAAGGGCTCACCTTGGCTCTCTAGACTCTGACAACTCACCTTACCATTGCTGTCCCTCAGAGAGGTGCTGGTGGCATAAATCTAATATGGTGCTGCCACAGCCCATGGAGAGATTTCTGCCTGCAGCCACAGAGGGACAGAGGAGAAACGCCTGTGCAGTTTGTCCTTCTGTCCTAAAGTATCTGAGTGCTGGGCACAAGGATGGGTGCTGGCTGTGGAGTAGAGGTGGTTGTGGAATGACAATAAACACAGGTCTGACCTTTTGGGGTAGGGATCCTACCTTGCCTTCCTGGATGATGGTGTTTAGGCTAAGGGCTCAAGAAGATATGAAGGAGGAGGAACCTGAGGGGATACATGAGGTGCAGAGTCTAGTCTGGAGGGCAAGCAGGCACTGCTGTGCAGCCCACACAGTGCTAAAGTGGTCTCTGGTGCTTCAGCAAGCTGGTAAGGTGAAGTGGGAGAGATTTGTACTGGGTGATATTGTTGCTGGCTTCCTGTGGAGAATACGTATGGGGGTTTGTTGAAAGGGTTGTATATAGATACTCAATGTTTCAATACTCACATATTTTTCACTTATTGGTATACAGTTCTATAAGTTAGGTAGAGAGTATAGCATTCAACACCCCCCACAACCTTCTCCCCTGTCATTATCATCTTGCATTAGTATGGTTACAGCTTGTGCACCTCCACTGCTGCATCATCATCACCCAGACTGATATTAGGGCTCCCTCCTGGTGTTGGACATGCTGTAAGTTTGGGTAGGTGTATGACATATTTCCACTGTTAAGTTTCTTCGAATACTTTCTCTGCCCTAAATCCCCTGTGCTCTGTCTCTTCATCTCTGCCTCCACCCAACCCTTGGTAACCCCTGGTCTTATATTGTCTGCATTGTATTGACCTGTTCTAAATGAGTCTTGGAGCTACTATAACAGTTAATACATAGAGCAGAGCTGAGTATGGTGGTACATGACTGTAATTTCTGCACTGAGGGAGCCTGAAGCAGGACGATTGCAAGTTCAAGTATGACTTGGGCAACTTAACCAGACCTTGTCTCAAAATAAAACTAAAATGACTGGGGATGTATAGCTTAGTGGTAGAGCACCTTTTATGGTTTAGATCTAGAATGCTATCTTATTTTTTCTTGTTGCTGAGACAAAATACCTGACACCCAAAGTTAAAAGAGGAAAGGTTTATTTCAGTTCAGTTTGTAGAAGTTTCAGTCCATAGTTGGCTGGTTCCAAGGCAGGGTGGCACGGCAGAGGGGCACTGCAGAGGAGAAACAGTGCATGGCAGGGCAGGGCAGACAGAAGGCAGCAAGCAGTGAGCAATGGTAGCAGCAGTGGCAGCAAAAGTAGCAGCAGCAAACTTGCCTCTCCCATTTATCCCATTCAGGCTTCTGGATGGTGCTACCCACGTCCAGGGTGGGACACCCTTAGTCCCAGCATCACACCCCCTAGATCCAGCCACTTCTGAAAATCGTCACCCATGACCTCTTGAGGCTTTAGGGGGACATCTAGATACAAGCCATAACAAATGTCCTCTAGAAGTTTCATGTGTTCAGAGGTATGGGGCTTTGGGAGGTGATTGAATCGTGGGGTGCTGTACTCTTGCATGGATTGATTCATTGATGAATTTATAGCTAACTGTGCTATTAGGAGGTGGGGCCTGCTTGGAAGAGTCACTGGGAGTGTGCCTTTGGAGGGGAGGGTATATCTCCCTCTCTCCTTCTCTCTTCTCTCTCTGCTTCCTGACTCTGATGAGATAAGCAGCTGTCCTTTGCAGTGCCCTTCCACCATGCTACTGTTGCCTTGGAACCAGAGCCAGTTACAAACTAAATTCCCTGAACTGTGAGCCAAATTAAACCTTTCTCTCCTTTAAGTTGTGGGTGTCAGGTATTTTGTTCTAGTGATGGAAAGGGCCTAATATAGTACCTCTAGGTTTGATCCACAGTAATCCAAACAAAAAAGACACAGAACAGGAACAGCACCCCACATCCAGCCACAGGCCACTCTGTTGCTGGCCTCATATCCTG